ACAAGGGTAACTGAGCCAGCATTCCCACAATGCTATGCGGGCGCCTAGATTTTTTGTTTATGGCTCACACCCACCACGCAGACCTGTTCTCTCACATGTAGGCCTATGAGCATTTTCGCGCTAAATTTGATGGCGCTAGAATTTTGGCATAGACCTACGGTTTGGACACTCAACATGAAGCCGTAGATCTACGGGACGGACCCTGAAAGGGTTAAGGACCCCAATGGAAATAAGTTAGACAGTCCTCGATGATGCACTGGCTTTCTTGGGTTATCCTGGGTAGCTAACCATCTGGGGTTAATTGTTTCTCGGTAATTGTTTCTCGTTAAGCCACACCAACAACACACTCTCCACATCTTCGAGTAGTACAGCTGATGGTGGTGCAGCAGCAGCTGAACGTGGTTCAGCAGCAGCTGACTGTGGTTCAGCAGCAGCTGACCGTGGTGCAGCAGCAGCTGACCGTGGTGCAGCAGCAGCTGACCGTGGTGCAGCAGCAGCTGACCGTGGTGCAGCAGCAGCTGACTGCGGTGCAGCAGCAGCTGACTGTGATGTAGCAACAGCTGACTGTGGTGCAGCAACAGCTGACTGGTCCAGCAACAGCTGACCGTGGTATGATAGTACATGTATTTCGATAGTATTTCTGACCCTGTTTACCACAGGGTTGGCACTAGAAGCTTTCTTTGGGCCCATGGTGGCTTATTTAGCAGTTAAAAGCACTAAAAACAGTGGAATACAAAATGTATCGAATGTATGCATGCAACTGGCCACCCTGGCTTGTAAACAATGACAACATGGCAGCTGAGGCACTCAGGCTGGAGGAACAGGTTTGGGACGAGTCATGTTGGTCAGAAACAGCTGACAGTGGTGCAGCAGCAGCTGATCGTGGTGCAGCAGCAGCTGACCGTGGTTCAGCAACAGCTGACTGTGGTGCAGCAGCAGCTGACCATGGTGCAGCAACAGCTGACAGTGGTGCAGCAGCAGCTGACTGTGGTACAGCAACAGCTGACCATGGTTCAGCAAAAGCTGACTGTGGTGCAGCAGCAGCAGCAGCTGACTGTGGTGCAGCAACATCTGACGGTGGTGCAGCAGCAGCTGACTGTGGTGCAGCAGCAGCTGACCATGGTGCAGCAGCAGCTGACCATGGTTCAGCAACAGCTGAATGGTGGATCAACAGCTGACTGTGGTGCAGCAACAGCTGACTGTGGTGCACCAACAGCTGACCATGGTGCAGCAACAGCTGACCATGGTGCAGCAACAGCTGACCGTGGTGCAGCAACAGCTGACCGTGGTGCAGCAACAACTGACTGTGGTGCAGCAACAGCTAACGGTGGTGCAGCAGCAGCTGACCGTGGTACGATAGTATGTATTTCTCACCCTTTTTACCACAGGGTTGGCACTAGAAGCTTTCTTTGGGCCCATGGCTTATTTAGCAGTTACAAGCACTATAAACAATGGAATAATACATGCATACATTCGATACACGAATGTATGCATGCAACCGGCCACCCTGGCTTGTAAACAGTGATGGCAGGGCAGCTGAGGCACTCAGGCTGGACGAACAGGTTTGGGAGGAATCACGTTGGGCGAGTTTTTTATCGTGAGGCGAGGCAGAATTTTTGCATTCAAATGCTTTGTATGCCGGAATTAATGTTATGCGATGCGTTCGTTAGGTGGGGGTCCACTGTACTAGTACGCATAAATTCTAGCATCCTCAAATCAAGCAGGAAAAGGCTGGTAGTCCTAGATGTGAGAGAATGGGTCTCCATGGTCAGTGTGCGTGGTACAAAAAAACCGGGGACCCAGTGGTGCATTGTGGGAAAGCCACCTTGTTCACCATGTCTGGCACTAAGAAACTCCTCACTCCTTGGCTAATTGGGGCTTTTTTGTTCCCAAGTGACAGTTCAAACACAGATGGAAGTGTCAGTGAAGATGAATTTCATGGTTTTGAGGAGTTTGTGACCGAAAGCATTGCCCAGGAAACTTGTAGGAAGAAAGGGAGGAAGGAAGTAAGTTAGGAAGAAATGGAGGAAAGAAGGGAGAGATGAAAGGAAGAAAGGAAGAGATGAGAGGAAGGAGGGAAGGAGGGAAGGAAGGGAGGAAGTAAGGAAAGAAGAAGACCATCAACCTAGGATAACTCAAAAAATTCAGACAGTGACTTATTTCCATGTGGGTTGGCGGGGTGGAGAGGAAGTTGGCAGGTAGTGTGGGTGGTGAGTGGTGTTATTTGTCATTGTGACACTATGCCGGTGACTCGGCATATTTACAAGTCCACCCCCACACAACAGAAGCTGTAGCAGTTCTGGGAAGTGTCCAGTGACTTTAAATGTGTATGTATGTGATAGAAACATAGTAATAAACAACATTTTTTATTGTTGGTTTGTGTAAACATGTTTTGTAAACAATATAATGACTGTGTGGTTATTGTGTAGCATACAACAAGCGAATATACATTCAATATACCTTATATTGGTCTCACAGGCCATAAAATTACTTGAATGAAGAAAGAAAGGAAGGAAGAAGTAAGGAAGGAAGGAAGGAGGGAAAGTAGGTAGATAGTAAGAGATGAGAGGAAGGAAGGAGGGAAGGTAGGTAGGAAGAGATGAGAAGAAGAAAAGAGGGAAGGTAGGATGGAAGGAAAGAAAGAAGGAAGGTAGGTTTGTGGGGAGGAAGGGATGTGTTGTGGAAGGCAGTGAGGGTTAGTGAGTGGTGGTATGATGCATCATTGTGACACAAGACACGCCAGTGACTCAGTATATTTACAAGTCCACCCTCACACAACTACAAGCTTTCAGAACCTCTTGTAATCAAATCAAATCAAAGTTTATTCTCTATAAGGATTACATTGCAGGGTTTACAGATTTTGGTTATTGTGTGGTTTACATGTAGTAAAATACTAATTACAGAGGGGGCCACTAGAACACCTAGCATGGCTAGGCATTTCGGGCAAACTTAGATTAATTCTTAACCCTAAATTATAACAAATTGTGGAGTAAGTTGACTAAATACTAAGTGGCTAAGTGACAAATACTAGTTTGTGAGTTTAGCAATGTGAATGCTTTTGTTTTGGCACAATACATAGTTTCTATATTGGAGTATCACAGGCAAACTTATGACTAGTTAGGAATCATTATTTTAAGATTAGGATACATATTTCTGTAGTTACAGGAACCTGTCCAGTGACTCTATATGTGTATATATATGATAGAAAAATAATAATAAACAACATTTTTTATTGTATTATACAATGAGTGAATATATACCAAATAGTCTTTATATTGGTCTCAGAGGCCATGAAAGTTACTTGAAAAAATAAAATATTAAAAAATAAAAGAAAAAAGTAGAAAAGAAACAAAAACTATTACCGGGTGACCGGCAGTCGGCAATGTTGCTGTATGTGGTTAAATTTCTGTCAACTTCACGCCTCCATATCTCCGTAAGTATTGATTGTAATTTTTTTTTTTGGCCTATAATACTCACAAAAAAAAAAAAATATCATTTCATAAAAAATAATTCTTTTTTTTTCAAATATTTTTCGAAAAAAAAAGCCTGTCAACCCTGAAAGGGTTAAAACAAGAAAATATGACTAACAGAAATGGCACTTCTTGAACTACCCAGCTGATTAAATTAGGTGTTCCACTATATAGCGTCCTGGGTCCTGACGATGAGTGAGACGCATCCAACACCTGGGTATAGTATCTCTTATGGAGACATTTTGCTTGCCAGTGCTTATATAGACCCATTGAAAAGCAAGGGCACCCTGGGTGCTAAGAAGCACTTTGTGAACACTTGTGGTCCAAGATTATTCAGCCTGCTGCTAGCAGTTATTAGAAATATTGCCATAAGTGTAGATGTTATTAAGAGGAAACCAGATCACTACCTTTGGTAAGTACAGATCAACCAGGCTATGATGACTGTGTGGACCATCAAGCCACCAACTGCAACAGCCTGGTTCATCAGGCAATGAGCAAAGAAGCCTGACCACAGGCAGGGCTACAAGTGTAGGAAAACTGTCAAAACTAGTCACAGGTATATCACAGGAAGTAGACATACAGCAGTATTATTACAGTATTCACAAAGAAATATTGAGCCCATAAGGGTTATTCAGCACCAGCATTGTGGGTGACTGCATCAGTTAAAATATGTAATTCTGTGGAAGTACTAAATTTTTTTAAGCACACAAACTTCATTTTCAACCTTCTTCAGTGCCATGATGCTCTCATTCTGGTTGCCCTTTAATGCAAACTTTTTATGCCTTTTTAAGTGAACCTGACTTATAGCATCAACTGTGATTTCCTGTCATGTACATAAGCTCACATTTCCCTTACCTCATAGCAACACCTGTTTGCTATGCAAGCCTGAATGGTTCTGTTAATTTTTTTTTTATAAATAATTATATTAAAAATGAAATGTAAATTTTACACTAATAAAACTATTGGTGTTCCTTAATTTATATGGTTTTCATCTATGATCCTTAATCCAGAAATGGAAGCATTTGTTACTTCCATACAGTACAGTAGGGTCTCGCTTTACGGCATTTCACCTTACAGCGTTCCGCTCATACGGCAATTTCAAATTATGACCAAAACTTGCTATACGGCTCCTCGTCTTTCTAATACAGCGCGCCCCACCTGGTTTGTTTACATTCTCCGAGAGGACATCTCTCTATTATGTCTGGAAACTTTCCAAAATTTCAAGTGTTTTAAAGCTGTTGCATATTTTATGTGTACTCTGATAATTATGCTTGTGTGTATCTGTACCTAAATATACTTACACACTGTTCTGGCATGCAGGTACACATTAAAATCACTAAGAGTCTCTCTACTCTTTCTAGCAATGTCTTTTTTCTGGCAGTAGCCTGGAACCTAACCTGCCGTATAAGTGGGGCCCTAATGTACTTGCCTCTTGAAATGAACAAATATGCTACATTTTATTACACAGGTAAGCTTTCTGATATCCCACTTATGAAAATTTACATACTCTCTTTTTTCTTGTCAATTAAGGGCAGCAACAGTACGGCCTGCATCAAGACCTCGGGATTCTGAACCACAGTTAATCGATATCTTTGACCCAGAAGAATACGTGACTACAACAACAGCTACTAATATAAAGGTTCGCATTCCTTTTAGTAGTGTTAAACCACAGACTGTACATAGGGAAGAGCTTTGCCAGTTATATAATGAACTATATTAAGATAATATGTTCATCTACATTAAAATGTTTTTGCAGTCCTTGCATAGTTATTAAACACCTTGGTACATTCTTGTTTTGTTGCTTGTATTTACACGTTGTGTTTTTAAGGCAGAGCTTGCTATTTTATCAGTGAAATAATCATCTTTTTTACTAAGCAAGCTATTATTGCAGTAACTCTGAAAATCAGATTGGATATCATGAGATTAATATATTTCACTGGTTCTCAATAATAAATAAATTTAGGCTGACCTAAGATAGGGTGGGTGGGATTAAGATAAATTGCTATTTTTCCTTTAAGCCAAATTATTGTGCAAAATTAAAATATATACTACAGTATATATCATATTTTACATTATTATTAAATTTATGGGACAGCACTAAACTTGTAGGGAGGGAGTGGGTCATACAGCACCTGGGAAGGGTAATCCAATTTCATCTGAAGTGGAGTAGCTCCAATTTCTTGGATCAAGAGCTCTTCATTAACCTCAAGGCACATCCCCTTGAAGGGATGTTAATAATTCACAGAAATATACTTGTAACTGCTAATGCCTGAGAAATTTTTTGAAAATCTCTATTTTTAGGAAAGTTTGACCAGTTGTCCTATAAAAAGTATGAAGAATATAATTCATGATCTTCCCATTTTTATTTTCTACCAAGGTTACGGGTGTCACACTGTTACATTTTAATTCTTATTCATATTCATGCAAGTCTAATATTTTACTCAGTTACTAAAATGTATAATAGTCTTTCCTCACTTAAGAAGCATGGCATACACTGTGGTAAAGGCATTGGGAGGCTGCAAGCTCTGACAAATGTGCGGCTGAAAAATTTGTGCAGGAATTCAAGGAATTGAAGGATTCCTTCCCCACCAAGTGTTCAGTTGTGACAAAACAGGCCTCTTTTGGAAGAAAATGCCAAAGAGGACTTATATTATGCAGGAGGAAAAAGCACTGCCAGGACATAAGCCTATGAAAGACAGGCTTACTCTTTTGTTCTGTGGTAATTCTGGTGGGGATTTCAAAGTGAAGCCTTTACTGGTGTATCACTGAAAATCCCAGAGTGTTCAAGAAAAAACAATGTTGTCAAGAATAGATTATGTGTGATGTGGAAAGCTAATAATAAGGCATGGGTCACAAGGCACATTTTCAAAGTGGGTCAATGATGTGTTTGGCCCCAATGTGAAAAAATACCTCCTGGAAAAGAAATTGCCACTCAAGTGCCTCCGGGTACGACAGTGCTCCTGCTCATCCTCCAGACTTGGAAGACCAATTGTTTAGGGACTTCCGTTTTATAACAATGAAGTTCTTGCCTCCTAACACCACTCCTCTCATCCAGTCCATGGACCAGCAGGCCATTTCTAACTGCAAAAAACTCTACACAAAAGCAGTGTTTCAAAGGTGTTTTCAAGTGACCTCGGACATTGACTTGACCCTAAGAGAGTTCTGGAGGAATCACTTCAATATCCTCCATTGCATAAGCCTTATAGGTAAGGCTTGGCAGGGAGTGACTTCCAGGACTTTGAACTCTGCATGGAGAAAATTGTGGCCAGATTGTGTCCAAGAGAGGAATTTTGAAGGGTTTGGAGCTGACCCTGAGGACCCTATGCCTGTTGTGGAATGTATTGTAGCATTGGAGAAATCCATGGGGTTGGATGTGAATGGCGAGGATGTGGAAGAGTTTGTGGAGGACCACAGGGAAGAGCTAACAACTGAAGAGCTGCAAGACCTTCAACTGGAACAGCAACAGACTGCAGCTGAAGAAATTACTTCAGAGGAGGAGGAAGAGAGAGGGAAGAAGGTGCCTTCTTCAGTGATTAAGGACATGTGTGTGAAGTGGAATGAGTTGCAAAGTTTTGTTAAAAAGTATCACCCTGACCAAGCTGAAACAAGCCATATCTGCAACATTTTCAGTGACAAAACCTTGTCCCACTTCAGAGAAATCTTAGAGATGCCAGAAACAGACCTCTCTGGACAGATTTTTTGTGCGACAGGGGTCCAGTGACTCAAGCTGGTCCTAGTGCCATTAAAAGACAAAGAAGGGAAGTAACCCTGGATAAGGACTTGATGCCTGAGGTCTCTATGGAGGGAGATTCCCATTCCAAACAATAAATCCTCCCTGTCTTCCATAAGCCAACAAGAGTCTTTAATAAAGGTATGTAATAGTGATTTAACCCTTTGACTGTCGCGGCCGTATATATACGTCTTACGAGGTACCGTGTTTGACGTATATACAGTGGACCCTCGACCAACGATGGCATCGATTAACGATAAATCCGACTAGCGATACATTTTAACGCAAAATTTTTGCCTCGACTAGCGCTAAAAAACTCGACCAACACTATTCGTTCCGTCTGAGACGCGTCCACTTCTGGCCAGTGTTTACAAGCCAGCCAGCCACCGTGGTTGCTTCCAAGCATACAATCGGAACATTTCATATTATCACAGCCTTTTTAGTGATTGCACCTGCAAAATAAGTCACCATGGGCCCCAAGAAAGCTTCTAGTGCCAATCCTACAGCAAAAAGGGTGAGAATTACTATGGATATGAAGAAAGAGATCATTGCTAAGTATGAAAGTGGAGTGCATGTCTCCGAGCTGGCCAGGTTGTACACAAAACCCCAATCAACCATCGCTATTTTTGTGGCCAAGAAAACGGCAATCAAGGAAGCTGTTCTTGCCAAAGGTGCAACTATGTTTTCGAAACTGAGATCGCAAGTACTCGAAGATGTTGAGAGACTGTTATTGGTGTGGATAAATGAAAAACAGTGGGGGGAAATAAATGGGATTAAATCTGGAGTATCTGAGAGAGTTAGAGCAAAGGAAGGGGTAGCAGTAATGTTAAATGATCAGTTATGGAAGGAGAAAAGAGAATATGAATGTGTAAATTCAAGAATTATGTGGATTAAAGTAAAGGTTGGATGCGAGAAGTGGGTCATAATAAGCGTGTATGCACCTGGAGAAGAGAGGAATGCAGAGGAGAGAGAGAGATTTTGGGAGATGTTAAGTGAATGTATAGGAGCCTTTGAACCAAGTGAGAGAGTAATTGTGGTAGGGGACTTGAATGCTAAAGTAGGAGAAACTTTTAGAGAGGGTGTGGTAGGTAAGTTTGGGGTGCCAGGTGTAAATGATAATGGGAGCCCTTTGATTGAACTTTGTATAGAAAGGGGTTTAGTTATAGGTAATACATATTTTAAGAAAAAGAGGATAAATAAGTATACACGATATGATGTAGGGCGAAATGACAGTAGTTTGTTGGATTATGTATTGGTAGATAAAAGACTGTTGAGTAGACTTCAGGATGTACATGTTTATAGAGGGGCCACAGATATATCAGATCACTTTCTAGTTGTAGCTACACTGAGAGTAAAAGGTAGATGGGATACAAGGAGAATAGAAGCATCAGGGAAGAGAGAGGTGAAGGTTTATAAACTAAAAGAGGAGGCAGTTAGGGTAAGATATAAACAGCTATTGGAGGATAGATGGGCTAATGAGAGCATAGGCAATGGGGTCGAAGAGGTATGGGGTAGGTTTAAAAATGTAGTGTTAGAGTGTTCAGCAGAAGTTTGTGGTTACAGGAAAGTGGGTGCAGGAGGGAAGAGGAGCGATTGGTGGAATGATGATGTAAAGAGAGTAGTAAGGGAGAAAAAGTTAGCATATGAGAAGTTTTTACAAAGTAGAAGTGATGCAAGGAGGGAAGAGTATATGGAGAAAAAGAGAGAAGTTAAGAGAGTGGTGAAGCAATGTAAAAAGAGAGCAAATGAGAGAGTGGGTGAGATGTTATCAACAAATTTTGTTGAAAATAAGAAAAAGTTTTGGAGTGAGATTAACAAGTTAAGAAAGCCTAGAGAACAAATGGATTTGTCAGTTAAAAATAGGAGAGGAGAGTTATTAAATGGAGAGTTAGAGGTATTGGGAAGATGGAAGGAATATTTTGAGGAATTGTTAAATGTTGATGAAGATAGGGAAGCTGTGATTTCGTGTATAGGGCAAGGAGGAATAACATCTTGTAGGAGTGAGGAAGAGCCAGTTGTGAGTGTGGGGGAAGTTCGTGAGGCAGTAGGTAAAATGAAAGGGGGTAAGGCAGCCGGGATTGATGGGATAAAGATAGAAATGTTAAAAGCAGGTGGGGATATAGTTTTGGAGTGGTTGGTGCAATTATTTAATAAATGTATGGAAGAAGGTAAGGTACCTAGGGATTGGCAGAGAGCATGCATAGTTCCTTTGTATAAAGGCAAAGGGGATAAAAGAGAGTGCAAAAATTATAGGGGGATAAGTCTGTTGAGTGTACCTGGTAAAGTGTATGGTAGAGTTATAATTGAAAGAATTAAGAGTAAGACGGAGAATAGGATAGCAGATGAACAAGGAGGCTTTAGGAAAGGTAGGGGGTGTGTGGACCAGGTGTTTACAGTGAAACATATAAGTGAACAGTATTTAGATAAGGCTAAAGAGGTCTTTGTGGCATTTATGGATTTGGAAAAGGCGTATGACAGGGTGGATAGGGGGGCAATGTGGCAGATGTTGCAAGTGTATGGTGTAGGAGGTAGGTTACTGAAAGCAGTGAAGAGTTTTTACGAGGATAGTGAGGCTCAAGTTAGAGTATGTAGGAAAGAGGGAAATTTTTTCCCAGTAAAAGTAGGCCTTAGACAAGGATGTGTTGGATGTCACCGTGGTTGTTTAATATATTTATAGATGGGGTTGTAAGAGAAGTAAATGCGAGGGTCTTGGCAAGAGGCGTGGAGTTAAAAGATAAAGAATCACACACAAAGTGGGAGTTGTCACAGCTGCTCTTTGCTGATGACACTGTGCTCTTGGGAGATTCTGAAGAGAAGTTGCAGAGATTGGTGGATGAATTTGGTAGGGTGTGCAAAAGAAGAAATTAAAGGTGAATACAGGAAAGAGTAAGGTTATGAGGATAACAAAAAGATTAGGTGATGAAAGATTGAATATCAGATTGGAGGGAGAGAGTATGGAGGAGGTGAACGTATTCAGATATTTGGGAGTGGACGTGTCAGCAGATGGGTCTATGAAAGATGAGGTGAATC